AACAGCCTCAGGGTAGAAGTTGTTCCTCAGTCTAGTGGTTCTACACTTATTGCTCCTCAACCTCCTTCCTGAGGGGAGTGGGGCAAAAAGTGTGCTGGGTGAGTGGGGTCCTTAATGATGTAGGTGGCCCTCTTCCTGCATCTAGAGGTGTAGATGTCTGATGGTGGGGAGACTGACTCCGACAGACTTCTGTGCAGCCTTCACCACTCTCTGCAAAGCTTTTCTTTCTGCAGCTGTGCAGCCTCCATGCCACACGTTGATGCTGGAGCACAGGATGCTCTCCACTGCACACCTGTAGAAGGAGGTGAGGACTGAGCTTCCCAGACCAGCTAGCCTCAGCCGTATTAGGAAGTGGAGTCTCTGATGAGCTTTTTTGATCAGGCTTGTGGTGTTGTTACTCCAGCTGAGCTTGTCATTCATGTGTACACCCAAGTACTTGTAGCTGGAGACCACTTCCACTCTTATGTTCAGGGGGGTGTAGGTGTTTTTGTTCCTTCTGCAGTCCACAATCATCTCCTTTGTCTTCTTCACATTGATGTGAAGATGTAACACGTTGATGTAACTGGAAGTTAGGAACTGAACATATGCAAGAGTTGTTGCTGGTACTAACACTACAGAAGATGCAACACAGGAAGAACTACAGACTCTGGAGGAGCAAGTAGTGAATTTTTTACAAAACAAAGACATTGACATCGAACATGAGGACATTTCAATCTGTCACACACTGCCCAACAAATCAGATAAAGCCAAACCATCCATAGTCATCAAGTTCATTAGCAGGAAATCAAGAAACAAGGTAATAATGCAAGCAAAAAAACTGAAGGGAACAAATGTTTACATAAACGAACATCTAACTAAAAAAAAGGAAATATTGCACGTGAAGCAAGGTGGTTGAAAAAACAGGAAAAAAAAATAGCATCAACTTGGACAAGAAATGGAAACATCTGGATCAAAATACAGGAAGGATCTCAGGCTAAAATAATAAAAGACCTGAAGGATCTGGAAAGACTAAAATGAGCTCAGGAGATGATAGATGATAAATCATTGACATAACTTCACTAACAAGAAATTAACAAAATATAAAATGAACAAATACATTAAAACATGGCAACATACGAAGACTTAGAGTTTAAAATATACAATGTTGAAGATGAGATTGATACAAATTTTTTCCTTGCAATAAAAGACTGTGAATATTACAATGAAGAACAGTTTAATGACATCAATATAACAAATGGAGGTCTCTCTATTATTCACTTTAATAGTAGAAGTTTAAATGCAAATATATCCAAAATAACAGATTATTTAAAACAGCTAAACAGAACCTTTACAATAATTGCAATGTCAGAGACATGGCTCAACGATGAAAACACAACTAATGTTCACATGGAAGGGTATGAATTATATCATGTGAACAGAAGCATCAAAAGAGGTGGTGGAGTGGCTCTATTTGTTAAAAATGAAATAAAATGTAAATTAATTAATGAAATGTCAATAATTGTTGATAATATCATGGAAATAATAACAATAGAAATAATAAACAAGAATGATAAAAACATATTGATAAGTTGTGTATATCGATCTCCAGGATCAAATATAGAAATATTCACTGATAAAATCGTACAACTATTGGACAAGAGTTTTAATAAAAGCATTTTTTTGTGTGGAGACTTTAATATTGACCTGGGAAATTAAACAGATTCAAATAACATCAGTACATTTACAAATTCATTGTATAGTTTAAATCTTTATCCGTTAATATCAAAACCAACAAGAATTACAACTCATAGTGCTACAATAATCGATAATATTTTCACAAATGTAACAAATGGGGATGTGATGGGAGGTATTTTAATGAGTGATTTGAGTGATCATTTACCAGTTTTCACAATTTATAAAAATGATCAAAGCATTACAAAAGAAATTACAATTAAGAAAAAAAACCAATAAACACATCAAAAAAAGCAATGGACAAATTAAAAGATGATTTACATAAACAAAACTGGAAAGACGTGTATGTTGATGATGTGAACAGATCATATGATGAGTTTATGAATATTTTGGAAGCTCTGTATGAAAAGAATTGTGTGCAAAATAATTGTACAAAGAGAAATGTTGTTGACCAACCATGGATGACGAAAGGGTTGAGAAATGCTTGTAAAAAAATAATTATTATTTGTATACATGTTTCTTGAAATTGAGAACACAAGAGGCTGAAGAGAAATATAAGAAGTATAAAAATAAATTAGTAGCGATTATAAGGAAACACAAGAAGGAATATTATAGTGATTTATTAAATAAAAGTAATGGTGATATGAAAGCTACATGGCGAGTAATAAATAGTGTTCTGAAAAGTCATAAAGCAAAAACAGGTATTTCACAATATTTTTTGAAGGATGACAATGAAATCCATGATGAAAATGAAATTGTAAATGGATTTAATCATCATTTTGTGAACGTTGGATCAAGCCTTGCAGCTAAAATACCAAAAGTAGACAATAATGTGAACCATTCAGTTATAAGTTGTGACAACAGTATTTTTCGTAATGGAACTGACAAAGAAGAAATAATGAATGTAGTAAAAAATCTTACAGATAAGAGATCAAAAGACTGGGTGGACATGGATATGATGTTTGTAAAGGACATAATGAGTTATGTTATCGAGCCGTTTACATATATTTGTAATTTATCATTTTCAAAAGGAATATTTCCAGACAATATGAAAGTAGCTAAGGTAGTTCCTCTCTTTAAAAATGGTGATAAATGTGTGTTCAATAATTATAGACCAATATCCTTATTACCACAGTTCTCAAAAATCCTAGAAAAACTATTTGTGACCAGTCCAAAAAAGTTCAATCTGGTCCTCTGGACATTCAAAAAAAACAAAAAATAAAACAAAGAAAAAATATATAGAAACGTTTCGTCTCTCATCCAAGAGACTTCCTCAGTCTGAGGTGAGAGAGAGTAATATTGTGTATGCTGTTCAGTGTCAGGAGGGCTGTGATCATCGGGGAAACTAAACAGCCACTGGCCAAAAGGATGGCCCAGCACAGAAGATCAACATCATCAGGCCAGGACTCTGCGGTCTACACTCATCTCCAGGTCACTCTTTCAAGGATGAAGATGTTCACATCCTGGACAGAGAGGAACGATGGTTTGAGAGAGGAGTAAAGGAGGCCATCTTTGTGAAAAGAAATCGTCCATCATTAAACAGGGGTGGAGGCCTCCGGGTTCAACTGTCCCCCTCTTACAATGCTGTGATTGCTAGTATCACTCAGCCCTCTGTGAATAGTAAACAGCCATCAGTGTGCTAATGATCCATTGTTAGGCTGATGGTCCTTCTTGAGCATGTGATCAGCTGGTTTTGGTTGTCAGCAGCAAACTGGTTGATCCACTCGGAGAAGGTGCTATTTAAGAGACTGAGCTGAATACAGCACCTCAGACTGAGGAAGTCTCTTGGATGAGAGACGAAACGTTTCTATTTTTTTTTGCTTTGTTTTATTTTATTTTATTTTTTTTAATGTCCAGAGGACCAGATTGAACTTTTTTGGATTTTTCTACCTGGATTATTGAGCATGCATCAGGATATTTGTGACCAGATTAGATAAATTTATTACTAAACAAAACATTCTAAGTAGCAGTCAGTATGGGTTTAGAGCAAAAAACTCTACATCAATGGCTCTCATGGAAATAATAGAACAAATAACTACTGCTGTCAATCAAAAACAGTATTGTGTTAGTATTTTTGTTGATTTAAAAAAAGCATTTGATACTACTGACCACACTATTCTCCTTGAAAAATTAAATAAATATGGTATAAGAGGACCAGCATTACACTGGGTATCTAGCTATTTAAAAGATAGGAAACGGTTTGTACAAATAAATGGTGTAAGATCTGACCTGTGCAATATCACTTGTGGAGTTCCTCAAGGCTCTGTACTTGGACCAAAGTTATTTATTTTATATGTGAATGACAGTGAATGTATCAGGACTCCTCAAATGTGTCCTTTTTGCAGATGACACCACATTTTTTTGTTTGGGTAAAGATGTAAAACGGATGTTGGATTTGATGAAGACAGAATTTGATAAAATACAAACTTGGTTTAAAATTAATAAATTATCATTAAATTTAGATAAAACTAAATACATGATATTTATTCAAAAAGTGTTCAATACAAAAACAACTGGACTTTATTTGTAACAGAAGACGTTTCGCTCCTCATCCGAGGAGCTTTCTCAATTCAAAGAGCAGAGAGTGAGAGATTCAGGTTATAAGGCTGAGTGAGATAAGACACACACACACACATATGTAGATTGGCAATTCACACCTAAACAGCATTAACAGTAAGAGTCTTTTGTTCCTCTAATTCACAGACGAGGCCCCTCTGTACACCGGTGACCCCCGTGACCCAAAATGGAAGAAGCGGGTAAAAGATAATGGATGGATGGATGCGGAAATTTTAAGGTTGACTCTGTGCATATACCATAGTTGTGTGTGCTATGTCAGTGGAAGATTTTGGTGAGGAAAAAAATGTTTTAGTGAGTAAGAAATTATAAAATAGTAATATATATTAAAATAAATACAAATATAAAAGATGGAAACTCCCATTCCTCTGCTCTGACATGTCCCAGCAGGAGATGGCGGGGAGGAACCCTGGAGTTGTGAAAAAGCCGTGTCTGACACCTCACCGGCCTGATTCACAACACCAGCTGACCCTCCACACCCACACAGATCCACACAGAGCTCATTTCCTGCGACAGATCCGGGTCACGGGCATAACCACAGCAAGACATTGTGTTGCTTTTATTTCAACCATTTATGCGCACAACTGTGAAACATTATACACACAAAGAAAATTTACTTTATTTAACATATTTTTTCACAAGCCTGAATACAGTAACTTTCTAAAGCTGTAGCTGAAGCAACCAACATCACTGATGGCAAAGTGCACGAGGTACATGATCTCTCCACTGGGGGCAGTGTTTGTGTTTTCTCCACTTCCACATTTTAAAGGTCTGATGTCAAATCTGTCACAAACCACGACTGAACCTGCATAAAAGACAAAAATGAGGGGAAAAAAGAAATCACTATTAATTTAAAACTAGAAGAGTCATGCTGTCTGGAAAAAAGTAGCAACAACAAAACTCTAAATTAAACGATAAAAAGTATTTTAAAGGCAGATTTTTAATGTTTTAGTTTGATATAAAAATATCTCATACTGATGTACATATGCATGTATAACTTGTACAACTTTTAATAAAACTCAGTAAATAATCATTGTTCGCTCATCTTTCTGCTTTTCCCTCCTCAGGGTCTCCACAGTGAGTCATCCTCCTCCATCTCACTCTGTCCTCTGCATTCTCTGTCCTCACTCCAACTACCTCCATGTCCTCTCTAACTGCATCCATATATTCCCTCTTTGACTTTTTCCTGGCAGCTGTGTTTCTAACATCCTTCTACCAATACTGTATACCCACTGTTCCTCCTCTGAACATGTCCAAACCATCTCAGTCTGGCCACTCTAACCTCTCTAAGTCTAGCTTCCACAACTCTCTCCTAGATCTTCATCGTGTGACTCATCAACTTAATTCCCGTGTAGGTGCTACAACTCTGTACATCACCCTTGTTCTTAAAAATGGACTCCAGCACAATTCTTCTCCATTCCTCAGACATTTTCTCACTCTCAAATATACCATTCAATATTTGAGTCAAAAACCTCACTGCCATCTCTCCAAGACATTTTCAAACCTTCACTGCTATGTCATCAGGTCCTACTGCCTTCCCCTTCTTCATTCTTTTCAGAGCTTTCTGGACTTCACCCTCACTAATCTTTCATACTTCCTGGTCCACAGTTTATATGACCTTTATTCTGGATTATTGAGCATGCATCAGGATACCTATACTCTTCTTTCTCTTTCATTCTCTTCATTTATTAGCTCCTCAAAGTACTCCTTCCATCTTCCCGTCACACTCTCTTCACTTGTTAGAACATTACCATTCCTATCTTTAACAAGCCTAACCTGCTGCACATCCTGTTTTAAATTAATAGTGATCCCACTGTCTTGCAAATCGGTACAAGTCCTTCTCACCCTCTTTCGTGTCCAGTCTCCCAAACAACTCATCATACGCCTTCTGCTTTGCCTTAGCTACCTCCCTCTACATTGCATCTCCTTATATTCCTGTCTCTTCGCTTCAGTCCTCTCTCTGTCATATTTCTTCTTGGCTTAACTCTTTCTTTGAACGGCGTTCTGCACTTCACTATTCCACCACCAGGTTTCCTAATCATCTATTCTCTGTCTAGATGACACACTATTCCCCCTTTTCGACTGTGATGCATGGGTCAAATATGCTCAGTTCACCATGGTTTGAGCTCTTTTCCACTAGTACTTTGTACCTGTTTTGCTCCCTTTTTTGTCCCTTCTTCTCAAAGGATCAAAGCGAGCCAAGCCGAGCCGGCATAAAAACATGACGTCAGAACACTGTCAGTCACTGATTGGCAGTGGTGGAGAAAGTACTCAAACACTGTACTTAAGTAAAAGTACAAATAAACAGACAAAAATGTACTCTAGTAAAAGTAGAAGTACCACATTAACATTTTTACTTAAATAAATAAGTACTTGTTTTTAAAATACTTAAAGTATTAAAAGTAAAAGTACTTCCTGAATGTATTACATAATGCAATGGTCTACATATCTTTAAGTGTGCCTACTGTATGTATATTTTCTGTAATACATTAATAGTGTTGAGCCATTTTAATGAACAATGCTGCAGATAATACATGTTTTTATTGTGTTTACTCTGTGACACAGTTCACACTTGGACTTGTAGTGAGCTAGCTGTTAGCTTCACTACTAATTAATTATTCTTAAAGCTAGTTCAAGCACAAAGAATATTAATTGTTCAATTATACGGATTCTTTCTTTTTCAAGTTAAATTTCTTTCATGTGACCCAGATAACTTGAGAGTGGAGGGTATAATTAATGACATGAGACGCCATTTTATCTTTGACCCATCAGAATAAATGCGGTCATTTATTTAACAGAATCAAAATTTAACATCAAACATGTACACATTGATTGGCTGATCTGTTTCTGATTAATAAACTTGGTGATTAATAAACTTGGCAAGTTCAAATAACAAGACAACAGAAGATTACTGATGGAGAATGATTCATCTCTGAAGGCACTTAACTTGATTTACTGGCGAATAGAAGTTTAAAGAGAAGGGGTAAAAAAGTTTAAAATTTAAAGAGGAGGTTTAGATGGATGAAGGAAGATGTAAGGACCAGAAAATGGCACCCTTCCTCCGACCCCAGCTCAGCCCTCCGGTACACTCAAGGCGTGAACAACTTGTTATCTGAGCAGAGGATACATCACCTCCGGAATAGAGGTCCATTGGCACGCTACCTTTTCAGCGTCTCCGATCAGGGTGGCTGAGAATCTTCCGAAGTAGTTCCATATACTCTGTTCAACAGAATAAGCTTCCTTAGAAGTTGAGAGCATTTAGTGCTCGGGGTGAGTCACAGCGAGGCAGCTGGGACTCCACTGGAATGGACGGACCCTTGGCACATGGTCCAATTCCATACTCCAAAGCTGACTTTCAGTAAGAACTGAAAGTTCCTGTACGACTCGCCATCAGACTGAGTCTCATCTTCGACTGAAAGTTCCAGGAAGACTGGGAAGACTGACTAGTTCCAAGAAGTGTTGACTTTTAAAGGGTATCCACTTCCTGTTACGTGGTACTTCCTGATTGGTTAGCACAACCAGCAGGGGTGTAGTTTTAGTGATGTCAGAGGGTTAATAGGAGTCAGCAGACAGCAGAAATGTTTTTAAGAACGGTTAGTACAGACAGGAAAATATTTTGAAGAAGTGTGAGACAGCAGGTGCCAGCCAGTTCTTATTTACTGTCTGAGAGTTTTAAAAACAAGGCACTTCGTTCTCATAACTTGTCTTCTGACTTTTGACCGACATCAGGTCCACTCCTCACACGGACAGAAGAGTAAATGCACACTTACTTCGTAAATAGACATTTAACTTGTATGATCCAAGTCTAATGAGGTTTAAAAATCATTAATACTGTTTCACAGTTGATTTAAATGAGTGGTTCACTTCAACATTAGAAACGGTATGAACTAAACACACTTTTGATTATCAAGATATTGTAAAATAGTAATGATAATATAAAAAGGAAGAGTGTTCTTTCAATTGATTAATTCAGGATACAATTAAATAGTCTCTTGATGAGATAATTTGTATTTCTGGATTCAAATCAATGAAATAACAGTTCCTATCCCCTGAAGGTCCTTGAGGCAGATTGATGCCGGAGGTCTAGTTCACTACAGACTTGTGATTCTGTGCGTCAGAATTTTAGGGATGGCATGCAGAGTTAAATTGTCATTAAGCAAAATAAGAAAGAGGAATGATTATACCTTTAAAAGTTTTTATTTAACACAGAGAAAAACCAATGTGTCATTTTAACTGCAGTAAACACATTTTAGTAAAAGTTGTCTGCCTGAACAAAAGGGGCATTAGACACAACTAACAAAGGAACAGGCTCTGATTATTTCAACTCCAGTTTGTCATCAACTCTAGTTAAAATACTGTCTAGTCAACCTTGTAAAGGGTCAATACTGAACAATATTTTAACTTCCTGACACCATTTTTAAAACTTGGACCCGAGTGTCGAGACATTTGGAGACATCTCTCGTCTCCTAACATCCCATGAACTGACACATTTTAATATTGCTGCAAACATTTCTTGTTCAAGTTCAGAAGAAATTGATTTTCAAAGATTTTTGAGTCCAATTTGGCTCTTTTGGGAGAGAGAATCTGTCCTGTTGTACTGAGCAGTCTTTCAGTAAGGCCATGGGTGGAGCATATCTTCTGGCTGACTCTCTTGCACTGGAATACATTTCAGTGTGTTAGAGGTACTGCGGGTGCACCCAGCTCAGTGACATATATATTAGAATATATGTCATTGGCCCAGTTCTTCTTGAAGGTGGGCCTAACGTTACCTGCCCACTTTGCAGTGATTCACTGGACCAACTCCCCTCTCACCATTGGTTACTTTCAAAGTAAATAATAAATCAAAAAGCCGCAACATGAATGTAACTTGTAATGCAACGCGTTATACAAATGTAGTGTAGTAGAAAGCACAGATACTTGATGTAAAATGTAGTGGAGTAAAAGTATAAAGTACCCACATTTTGTTTAAAGTACAGATACATGAAAAATGTACTTAAGTACAGTAACAAAGTATTTGTACTTAGTTACATCCCACCACTGCTGATTGGTCAGGGGGAGGAGTCACTGGATCTTTCAGAAAACTCTTCACCGATCCGCCATTTGCCATTACTTGGAACTTGGAGCAGCGGCTGGACCTATTTTTAATATTTTTAAAACAATAATGACAACACCGTGGTCTAATGCTGAAGTGCAGGAATTTTTTGTGCTTGGTGACCGACGACAAAATTCAGAGTGAGCGAGCGAGGTAGAGCTCTGGCAGTCTCCCCGGAGCTTCGGAGCTCCCCTCACGCCATCTCCCCGGCTCCAAGCTCCACCAGTCATTGCAGAAGATCCTCCGTGCTGCTGGCTCGGGCTCCGTATTCTAATGCTGAAGTGCAGGCATTTTTTATATTTTGTGGCCAACGACAAAATTCAGAGCGATCTAGTCACCGCCAAGGATCATATGAGCTGCCGACCCGTTGAAGCACGCGAGGCCGGGATCCATAACCCGGTCTCGCATGCTCACAAAGGCCGGATTCTGAGCCCTGGCAGATGGGTGAACCGGGATGGAGAGTGGAAACATTGCTTTTTTTTTTTTTTTACATTTTATCTATAAAAAAATATGTTTTTTTATCAGTGAAGATTAAAAAGAAATAAACGGTGCCAGCTTTACCATGAAATCCTGTTTTCACTTTGACTTTATTAAATAATCTGTTAATTAAAGTTAACTCAGTTGAAAAATGATAAAACGACAAAATTATTGGGTCTCTCAGGAATATTTCCGTCAAATATGTTAAAAAAAAGCTATGGCCTTTAGTTCCAACT